CCCCGGGGGTCCTGTCCTTGTCTTTGGTGGCTCCACAGTCACTCCTGGGCCACCAGCTGAGGGACAAAGCTGAGCTGGGAGGAGGTTTTTTGGGGGGTTTGCTCCATTTCTGGGGGGTTTCTGTCTTGTGTCAGGGTGGGATTGTCACTTTGGGGTGGCTTTGGTGAGATTCGTGGTGGCCCCTCTCCCATGTGTCCCCTGTCATCATCCAGTCCAAGTGTCCAAGGGCAGGTTGGATGCACTCCTGGGCCACCAGCTGAGGGACAAAGCTGAGCTGGGAGGAGGTTTTTTGGGGGGTTTGCTCCATTTCTGGGGGGTTTCTGTCTTGTGTCAGGGTGGGATTGTCACTTTGGGGTGGCTTTGGTGAGATTCGTGGTGGCCCCTCTCCCATGTGTCCCCTGTCATCATCCAGTCCAAGTGTCCAAGGGCAGGTTGGATGGGGCTTGGAGCAGCCTGGGCTGGTGGGAGGTGTCCCTGCCCATGCAGGGGGTTGGGACTGGATGATACTGAAGGTCCCTCCAACCCAAACCATTCCATGATTCTATGATCATCCAGTCCAACCAATGGTTTGGGTTGGAAAAGCCCCTGAAGATCAACCAGTACAACCAATGGTTGGAGAAAACCTTTGAAGATCAACCAGTTCAATCTATGGTTGGAAAAGCCCCTGAAGATCATCCAGTCCAAGAATGGTTTGGGTTGGAGAAAACCTTGAAGATCAACCAGTCCAAGAATGGTTTGGGTTGGAAAAGCCCTTGAAGATCATCCAGTCCAACCAGTGGTTTGGTTGGAAAAGCCCTGAAGATCATCCAGTCCAAGAATGGGTTGGGTTGGAGAAAACCTTGAAGATCAACTGGTCCAACAACGCTTGGATTAAACCTTGCAGACCTGAATGACCTTCAAGCTCTTTCCCACCCCAAACCCTTCCCTCTGGCCATCCCCACTAACCCCACCCCCCCTTTCAGGTCCTGCAGAGGATGGATCCAGCCCCCCCGAGGAGCAAAGCCCCCTCCTTCCTGGCTGACCTGGGCAGGGCCACCCTGCGGGGCATCCGGCGCTGCCCGCGCTGCGGCACCTTCAACGGGACGCGCGGGCTGAGCTGCAAGAACAAGAGGTGCGGGACAGTTTTCCGGCAGGGCTCCCGGGCCCAGCCCCCCCTGGATGCTGTCAGGATCCTGACTGGCTCCCCAGCCCAGCTCTGCTCTGTGAGGAGAAGGGAACGGGGTCTGGATCACCGGTGTTTTGTGGAGCTGGGGGTGTCGGGGACCCCCCTCCCCCAGCTCGGCTCCGGGCGCTGCTCCTCGCCCGCCTGCCTGAAGAACGTGGCTCGTGGGTTGGTGGAGCAGCAGTGTCAGCACATCAAGCTGGCCCTCAGCTGCCAAGCAGAAGCCACCCCTCTCCCCTTGAAGAGCTCGGTGCTCAACTCCATGCAGGCTCCTCAGGAGGCCAAGGAGACCTTGTGGCAACTGGCCAGCCAGCCCAGCGGGCCCCTGGTGCAGAGGGTCACCAAGAACGTCCTGGTGGTCAAGTGCAAAGCCAGCCAGGAGCACAGCTTGGGCTACCTCCACGCCTGCTTCACCCCCAAACCCAGCACTGGGACCTTGGGGGGAGGTGGGCACAGGTTCTCCTGCTCCTGCCAGAGCCCGAGGAAGGGGGAGGAAGAGGAGGAAGAGGAGAGAGAGGAGGGGGTGGTGGCCCCAGCAGCTCCGCGCTGCATCCACTTCCTGGCCTGTCTCTGCGCCTTTGCCAGTGATGAGAGCCTGGCCAGGGAGTTTGCCCACCTGCTGAGCTGTGGC